GCCCCCGATGACCCACATCCAAGATTGCCCCCCTCTCTTGTTCCTGTCAATCGAAAACAAGACTCCATTTTGAGGAGGGAGTTCCCAGCTGCACCGTCTACTGCTTCCGTTCATAGCCCACTACATTCTTTTGTGACGTGCCATATGTGTTAGCAAGCCGTGTGAGCAGAAATACCTCATTTCCATTAACTTATACATTAATGGAAAAATACATTAATGTGAAAAGGTTCCATGTATCCTCTTGGTGTGTCTTGAAGATCATTGTGGGCAAAGGTGAGCTGCACCTTTGCCCTGCTGGTGTTGCGTAACGTAGTTTGTTGTGTTGTGGTGTTGCACAATAAGTATCCCGTTATTGCTGCAGGCTGTGGCAGCGAGTGGGTGGCCTGCAGGCCTGTTTGATGTGTCCAGGAGATAAGGAAGGAGGGGCAGAGAGGTGTAAGGTTGCTGTTATCACTGGGAATAACACCAACTGCCACATACTGCAAGAAGAAGTGTGTTTTTGTGTTTCGGTTTCTAATACAGTATGTGTGTGATAAAGAGGGTGCGGCCTAGACAAACTGGCGAGCTTGCGTGAACGAATTGTTGTTTCAAACTCTGCTTTATCTGATGAGATGCTTAACAGCTGAAATGGATTTATTGTCTTATTTTATGAGTTGCTTTTGGCTGCTGCCAAGGCTGGCTGCAAGTGGAAGTGTGCAAAGTTGAGCTGACTTTGGCCACGTCCACACTCCTTAAGTCCATGCTGGTGTTTTCCAATTGTTTTCAAAGTTTTAAGCCAGGTACACAGCTTGTTGAAAGCCTGCGGTGCATCTTCTCATTTCAGATCATTTCAGCACACAACGAATAACGGACTGTAACAATCTTGTGCCCGCTTGTTGCTGTCTTACCCATTTGACAAAATCAAAGATGGACTGTTGGAGTGTGAAGTGTGTTATTTAATTTTAGAGTTGTAATGTCTTTTGTCACTTTATTACAGAACTCTTGCTGTTTAGAGAGATGTTTACAGACTACTTTTTCAGATACAAAGGTCAGCCTTTCAGAAATTTGGTGGCTCCGTCAGAGTCGAAGCTCTGCTGAGTTGTTCAGGGAGTGGGGAGAAGAACGTTGTCGGTCAGTCTGGGAGAATTTAAACTGGGATCTGTCGAGTAAAGTCTTCACTTATTTGGGATCATTTCTTTATCATGGTAAAATATTTTGGTACGCTTTCATTTAGTTTTGAAAACTCTTCTTTGCTTCTTCCTTGTGAAGTTTGTGTACACTGCTGCTAACACGATGCCATGGACAGATGTTGCCCAGTTGTGGGGATGTAGTGCAACCTGATCTTCCTCTAGTTCAGGTCTCAGTATTGTGACAAATATAAACACATTTAGATGTCCAGTAATTCATTATTTAACAAGATGGCAGATTAGAGCACCGTTGATGGCTACTGTTTAATACAGTGTTGCAGTAAATTAGTTTTTGTCTTAAATGTCTTGTCACCAGGTCTAAAAGGAGAACTATTGTCAACATGCCTATGTTTCATCACTCTTTGGTCAGGTGTTCTACCTGGCAAATAGCAAGATTTTGACATTTAGTCCCACAATCGTGTGTGTATTTCTCTTCACTGAAAATATTTTTGAATAGATAGAATGTTGAATTGTGAAGCCATTTTTATTTTATTCTGATTTATTTATCAGTCACATCCACAGAAAATAAAATCAAGAGATAATATACACATACACATGCTAAAATATGTGAAACACTTATGCCTGATGCATGCACTTATGCATGGATATTCAAATATATAGTCTAACAAGAGGCTACCAGTGGCACTTACGTTATGTTCTGACCATTTGATATCTTGGTCTGACTTTTTCCACTCTGACAAAATCCACATCTGAACAACTCACCAGTATTGCTCAACATGCTGTTGTAGTAAGTAGTTTGGCTCCTGTCCATTATAAGAAGTCCCTTAAACTGTGCCATTGATGTGCTGATGATCAGAGTTTGTACCTGGATTGTTGACATGTTCGTCTTGCTAACCATTAACAGAATGGGAAGTTAATGGGTAGCTTACACCTGGGGAATGATGAGGGCCAATAACCGCTCAATAGAACCAAGACTACTGCAATGCATTTAGACTTTTATTTCTATTTTAAGATGCATGTTGCAGTGGGATTGATTATTTTTTTTTTTTGTGTGTGGATAGAGTGTAATACATGGGGAGGGGTGAGCAGATGGGGTTCACACCATGTAGAGGCACAGACCGAGTGTGATTAGCAGGTGTGTCTGTATCATAGATCGAAAGCAGCAGACTAGATGGAGACATTAGATTGCTTCTGTGATAAGGGGCTCATTTTACCCTACATGCACAAGGCCAGGCCCGTTTTCACTACTTTTGTTTGTACAAATGGAAGTCAGTGTAATGACAAATTTGATTAACAGAATGGTTTAATGTTGAATATGATTAATTTCGTACTGTGAAAGAGGAACAGTTTCTTTCATTAAATTCAGCATCTTAAAATTACAAGCTGCTCTTTTCTAGTTCAAGATTCAAAATTACTTATTTGTCACTTGGCAAAATTTGTCTTGGCCATAAATGTCTGTGTAATTGTAATCCAATACATGACTGAGAGAAATAACCTGATGTGTTGTTTCTTGTAGTGGAAACACGTTTGTAATGTTCATTAACAAATTGCATTAAAATCCACTCTTGTCGCATGTTGGTTTTGTTCATACCATCTGTTTTGGGCCGTTATGGCTGGTAGGATTGTTGACACGGTACATGTGGAACAAATTAGTATCATATGTTTAATGAGCGTGTTCACTGAAAGTAAATAGGGTGTGGCGACATTGTGGAATTTTTTGCATGCATTTAAAAACATCATCCTCAGCATTGCTGTGCCAAGCAGTAAAACATATCTCTTCTACTTAAAACAGCAAGTCTGTTCACATAAGCAGACACTTTGACTGGCCTAGGTGTTGACGAACAAACCTGATCATATATTTGGTTGATCTGGTAGAGAAATGTCCCGCATGTATGGGTGTTCATGATGTTTTGTTGAAGATGATTCAAGGGAGGAGGACGTTTAGTGTTGCGGCGATGAATCTGGGCTATGCTTAGGAGGTATCTTCTTATTTGTTTCTATGGTGCATAATTGATTGCAGTTGAGAGAACAAAACGTCTCAGACCCCTCACAAACAATGTCAATAAACATGCTAGTCAATTACTAACCCATGATTGATTCACTGATGTGACAGCTGATCATGTGTGAGAAGTATTGTCGCTCTGTGTCCTCTTGGTAACTTTGTAAACCTGTTTTTTTTTTTTAAAGATGAAATAAAATGTGTCTAGCTTTCTGACATAATTGCAACAATATAAATTATGTTTCATTGTGACACCTGTTTTATATAATTTAAGCTATGAGGCGTTCTCTCTTTCCACTTACTAATTTTGCAGAGGGATACATTGGAAATGTGCATCTTACCAAGCATGCAACAGCAGCAGCACGCCTTTTCTCTCTGTACATCTCCTTAACTGTCCCCTAATGAATTCTCCACTCCTCTGATGTGAGTGTGTGTGCATGCATTTTCCGGTCCAAATGTGGGCTTGTGTGCGCGCCAGTGTGCAGCAGCTAAAGAGTATGAATGAGCATGGATAAGCATTTTGCTTCTAGGCTTCATTTCTGTTAACCCCTTCATGTCTGCTTCATTCAGATCAGACGGTGCCATAGAATCATTTTCTCTCTGGAGAAATATTTGCTGGAGCCAATGAGAACAGAGAGACTCGGTGTGTGTGTGTGTGAGAGAGAGAGAGAGAGAGAGAGAGAGAGGGAGGGAGGGAGAGGGCCCTTGTGGCCAGTCAGATTGTAGAGGGGATTTTAGTGAAGCTGCTTCATGAATGACTCTGCTCTACTTAATACAAATCACTAGTGGTTTAATGGCTTAAAGGGGTAAAAGAATGATCTGTTGATTTTCATATCTGGTTGTTTTTAGACTGTTGTAAATCACGGATGAATCTTTTTTTTTGGCCTGTTACTGTAAACCATAATCAAGCTAATTGCGAGGAATGTCATGTTTCATTTTGAATGTGATGTGCTCTCTTATTGTGTTTTCTATAGGAGTAAAAACATGAACATGAAAACATTTACATTGCATAAATATGCTGAAACATAAAAAACAAGTCCATGAATCAGTTCCACTCAGCTGAATGCAATATAACACTCACCGGCCACTTTATTATGTACAAACCTTAGGTACAAACCCAACTGTTTTCTTGAACATGACGATGCGTTCACTGTACTCCAGTGGCCTCCACAGTCACCAGATCTCAATTCAACCAGGTACCTTTGGGATGTGGTGGAACGGGAGAGTCGCATCGTGAAGTTACAGCAGAGAAATTTGCAGCAACTGCGTGATACTACCATGTCAATATGGACCAAAGTTTCTGAGGAATGTTTCCAACACCTTGTTGAAAGTATGCCATATGAAGAACTAAGGCAGTTCCAAAATTGACAGCAATTGTGTTGGACAGATTTGTGCAGCGGTGCTCATGAGAGAGAGAGGGAGTGGGAGAGGGAACGAAGTGCTGAGCAAATATATGCGTTGCAAGCAGCTCTGCAATCAAACATGATTTTAAATGTGGTGGTTGGCGTTGATACTGTGTTGGCCGCCATAAATAAATCAATGTATGGGAAACACTGAGCTCTGAAGGCAAAAGGGGATCCAAACCAGTACTAGCAAGGTGTACCCAATAAAGTGGCCAGCTAGTGTAGTTCAACGGCATAACAAACCACAGCCTCCAAAATGACCGTAAAGTTGAATTAACACTTAAACAGTTTCAACAACAATTTCTTGAAGGTGGAATTTATTTCAGTGCTGTTTAAATTGCATAATTTTAGCTAAGTGTACGTAATAAAGTGGCAGCTTAGTGTAAATGCACATTCCCTCTGTGCTCTCTTGTATTTTATGACTGGCTTATTATTGTTTCTCACCTCTCCCTACTTTTTCTATCCTTCCAGTCTGCCAGAGCAAGGACATCCGGAACAATGTGACCAACCTCCAGTCGTTGGAGAACTGCACCATCATCGAGGGCCACCTGAAGATTCTGCTCATGTTTAAGACCAAGACCGAGGACTTCCGGGGCCTCAGCTACCCGAAGCTGCGAGTGGTGACCGACTACATGCTGCTGTTCAGGGTCTACGGCCTCGAGTCCCTCAGCGATCTGTTCCCCAACCTGACAGTGATCCGCGGAAACAACCTCTTCTTCAACTACGCACTCGTGATTTACGAGATGCTGCAACTGAAGGAGGTGGGCCTCTACAGTCTCATGAATATCACCCGGGGCGCCGTGAGGATCGAGAAGAATCCAGACCTGTGCTACCTGGCCACCTTGGACTGGTCCAAGATCCTAGACTCAGTGGAGGACAACTTCATCGTGGCCAATAAGAACGAGAGAGAGTGCGGAGATGTTTGTCCCGGCACGGCCCAAGGTCAGACCATCTGCTCACAGAACACCATCAACGGACACTTCAGGGGACGATGCTGGTCACAGAACCACTGCCAGAGAAGTAAGTGTATTTGTGTGTTAATGTGCATATAACAGTGGAGAGTTTATTCTCCCTTCTTTCCTTCTTATATGCTCCACTTATACTATAGGTTTTGAAACTGTGAGCCATACCTCCCCAGAGTTAAAGGGAAGATCCTTCCATTATCTCTGATGTCCATCCAACTAAATGTCCATAAATCTGACAAGAAAACGTAGAAAAAAGACGCTTCTTATAACTCTAGAACTTGCCTGAGAATAATCAGGTTTTCTTCAGTGATCCTTGTCTGTACACTTATCGGTACATTGCAAACCGGAACTGCTAATAGCTAATTTGGCATGCTTTTAATGGTGCCAATTTGTCAAAATGTAAACAAACACAGGTGATACAAACAGGGCTCAAGTTATATCCCAGAGCTAATTAACTGGCTCCATTGCAACAATATACTTCCTGTTTACATCCCCAGCATTTGTCTCAAATCTTACTTGGGGTGCTGGGGGAGGGTGACTTTGAAAACCCCTGCTTTATACCGATTACGAAGTCAATCACTGGCATGTAAACCAGCCTGGGAAAAAAAAGTCTGACATTTCTGTATGGAGCAGTGGGAAAATTTCGTATTGACTGGCTGCTGTGTGCAGACATGGTAGTGTAGTAGCACCTTTCCAGAATCCATCACGCTGCTCATTGTGAAGTGGTCCATTGAGACGCATAATGAGAATATGCACTGGAGATCTTTTCCTCCCAGAAATCAATTGAGACGACTAATGTTTTCATTCCAATTGGTTTATGTAATGATTTTGCGATGTGGAGGATTGCTCCTAATATCAGCAGGCAGGGGTCACGGACTCCCTCTGATTACCATTCATTGACTGGAGCATTGTGGACAAGTGATCTGTAATTATAGGATCAGTATCTGCTTGATGTATGAAATGACTCAACTGTGTTGCTGTAAACTCAAAGGTAGGCATTATGGGAAAGAAAGAGGGTTAGAGCAAGAGAGGTGATGGACAGGGATAGAGAGTGTAGAACACTTTGTTTGTTAGAAACTGTACAGATTTTCTCAGCCTTTTTAGTAAAAAACAGCTGTGGGCTTGCTTGGTGCTGCTGCCAGTGTGTCGGCCGCTCGGTCAGTCAGTCTTTCCTCTCCTACCATAAACATAGAGAATGGCTTCTATTGTAAGACACACAGACAGAAGGCTTATTATTTTTTGAAGGCGATTATAGCTTGTGTTGTTTTCCTCTTATGTCTCTGTGTCTGACAGAAAGGCTGGCGTTCAAAGCGTAACGACCTCGGCCATGTTTATACTTTAACATCGACTGTTGCAGCCCGCACATAATGTTCGGCTCCTTGATTTTCTGCCAGGTCTCGCTGTCGTGAAAGTAATACTACAGGAAATGGCTCTCTTTGTGTCTCACTCTCCTTCTCTACACATATACAAACACACACATTGCCTTAGAGTTTTTACTTAGACAAGGTGTGCGGTATTCAGTTTGTTTTAATGGGTAGGTTAAAAAAACAATATTTAGAACTGGGAGAGTGCACTCAGTAAAGTGCAGATCTTCGCCAGGTGTGTCTTGGGGCATGCGACTGCGGAACAGGGAGTGCATGGCAGGCTGTGTGTCCATCTTGTATGCATTACAGTAGGGAGAATCTTTTTGTTTGTTTGTTTTATTATATAGATGAATTCACTGTTTTAAATACATTTACTCATTTGGCAGACACTTTTATCCAAAGCGACTTACATTTGAGGAATAACATACAAGTATCAACAGAGCATCAACTACAGATCTACAACTGACAATACATACTAGTAAGAGCAGCAATAAATACTAGTAAGAACTCACAGTACATATCACATCAATGGGGTAGATACCTAGGGAAGGAAGTAAGAGTTATCAAAAAGTGCAATCAAAAGGGAAGTGCATGTTAGAGGTTAGGAGTTAGAGGTGTTATAAGAGGAAGTGTTCTCGGAAGAGATGAGTTTTCAAGAGCTTCTTGAAGTTAGAGAGGGACGCCCCTGCTCTGATGGCGTGTGGTAGCTCGTTCCACCATCGTGGTGTCACAGATGAGAATAGCCAGGACTGGGATATCAACAGAGCATCAACTACAGATCTACAACTGACAATACATACTAGTAAGAGCAGCAATAAATACTAGTAAGAACTCACAGTACATATCACATCAATGGGGTAGATACCTAGGGAAGGAAGTAAGAGTTAGCAAAAGTGCAATCAAAAGGGAAGTGCATGTTAGAGGTTAGGAGTTAGAGGTGTTATAATAGGAAGTGTTCTCGGAAGAGATGAGTTTTCAAGAGCTTCTTGAAGTTAGAGAGGGACGCCCCTGCTCTGATGGCGTGTGGTAGCTCGTTCCACCATCGTGGTGTCACAGATGAGAATAGCCAGGACTGGGATTGCTTTGTGTGTAGGGAGGGCAGAGCCAGGCGGCGTTCGTTGGAGGAGCGTAGCGGCCGAGAAGGAACGTAAGTTTGTATTGTGGAGTTTAGGTAGATGGGTGCAGACCCAGTAGTCACTCTGTATGCAAGCATTAGTGACTTGAATTTGATTGTGGAGGTCACTGAGTAATGGAGTGACATGAGTCCTTTTGGGCTGATCAGAAGCTGGGTGGCGTACTGAGTGAGGTAAGGCCTGATTTTCCTTATGTTGTATAGAGAAAAGCGGCATGACCGAGAGACATTAGCAACATGGTCTGAAAAGGACAGCTGGTCATCAATCATGACACCCAAGTTTCTCACCACCTTGGTTGGAGTGATGGTTGCGGAGTCAATTTGTAGTTTCATGTTTATGGTGGATAGATTGCTTGGCTGGAATTACCAAGAGTTCAGTCTTAGAGAGGTTTAGTTGAAGGTGGCAAGCCTTCATCCATGCAGATATGTCTGATAGACAGTCCGTGATCCGCGCCGAGACAGTGGGATCGCCTGGCGGGAAGGATAGGTAGAGTTGCGTGTCGTCTGCGTAGCAGTGGTAAGAGAAGCCGTGCGAGCGAATGATCGGCCCCAGTGAGGTGGTGTAAATTGAGAAGAGAAGGGGCCCAAGCACTGAGCCTTGGGGTACCCCTGTGGAGAGGCAGTGGGAGGAGGATAATTGTCCTTGCCACAAACATTGTAGGAACGCCCCGAGAGGTAAGATTTGAACCACAGGAGTGCTTTACTATAATAGTTTTGTATAGTGTAGTCTCAGTTTTCTTTGAGATTTATACAATAGTGTAATGGTACTGTCGCTGTATAAACATAATAAGGAAACAATAAATGGCACAATAAGTCCAAACGTCTCAATTTAAACATTGTCATTTATTTAGAACTGTTTGTCGTAAACATCACACAAAATAAACCCCTCCCAAACGTAACTCAGATCGTAAAATGGCGAAAGTCTAAGCTTTACACTAGGTTCAGTCAATAAAATAGGTTTTTCAAGAAATTGACAACCACCACAACCTCCAGAGGATTATGAGAATGCAGTCATAAATGTACACAAATATATCAGGCTAATGGGTGTAGTAGTATGCGAGATTAGCTGTGGGCAGATGCGCACACGACCAAATGCATGATTATGCCCGGTGGAGATAATAACAGGGGAGGAGCAATGACACTTCAGATTGTGTTGTCCAGGACGCCAGCTGTTGGAAAACTTTCAGACTTCTTATGAGGACCTGGAAAAAACATTTCAGGTGACACAGTTTGGAGCTCAAAATTCAGGTGTAAGGTGAAGGTTAAGTAAAGGATAAAACAAAAAATCAGTCACTTCTCGCTGCTTCTCACAAACTTAAAAAAGTTACTTATGAAGCTTCTTATGAATGCAATATTTAAGAGCGCTCCAAAAGTCTCCAAAGTTGGTAGATCTCAGATGCTTGCAGTACAGAGACAGAGATGAGCGTACATCTGTCTGGGACATGTTTTGGAGTGGTTGTACAAAATATTGTTGGTTGCTATGAATTATACATTAACTGAAGCAATATGTATAATTCAGAAGTGTTGATATTAGCCTATTATTAGCACTTTGATTTGATTTCTTTTTTCCCCGCCATATATATTCACTATGCACTTTTTAGATTTTTTTAATTGCTAAATTGAGCAGCCTTGGTGTAATCCTAGACTTGATTTCAGAGACATTAAAAAAAAGAATGTTGGCTGATAAACAGTAGAGGGTGTACAGCAACCTGTACACATGTGCCTTCATGTCTCCTGTGCTTCGGATAGGCCAGAGGGCATCACACTGTGCTCTGCGTCTGGTGATAGGCACCAGTTCAAGAGCTGTGTGTCAAAGCAGGAGACATTTCTAGAACATGATGCAATGGCTGGTCGGTCGGGGGTGGGGGGGGAGTGTGTGTGTGTATGTGTGTGTGTGTGAGTGCGCTACACATAGGAACGATAGGTGTACACTTACTGTAAATGTTTACAAGTGTTTATGTGTGTTTTTAATATATGTGTGCTTGAGAACAATAACAGTAGTGACCATAACAGTAACATTATCAGCGAGTTATGAAATGGTTTAATACCACGTTATGCAGGTGTAGCAGTATCCATGGCATGTTTGAGCCCCGCAGGTCAACCTAGATGAGATGAAAGGATGTGACATGTGAACCTCAAGGAAGAGAAATGTTCCCTTGGCTGTTTGTGCAGCGATATACGGTGAAGCACACACTGGGTGGTGTCGTGAGGAAACTGTAGAATCTCTAATTAGGGCCTCTGTGAATGAAAACTCACAGTTTACAAACTCACATACGCATGTACACGTGTGCACGCGGAGACGTGAGTGCAGGGCGGAGGAACATTAGATGGAGCATTAAAGTTTATGTGTGAGTGGAAACTGGGGTTGTTTTTGTTGTGTTTTTTTTACAGGGTTCCAGTTGCCTTAGGTAAGAGCCAAGGGAGAGCCTGCATTCCTCTGATCTTACACATGCTCCTTACAAGCAGGAAAACCACTGTGTGTGTGTGTGTGTGTGAACCAAGACATGTCATGTTTAACTGTGCAGGGCCCTTAAGTAACTTGTTGGCAATCGAAACAGC